CAAAGGGTTTCCACTGGTCATTCTCTGGAGAAGGGTGTGAGCCAACATTACACTTACTCACTGGCTACTGGGAGAAGCTTTTAATCCAGTGTGTTTATAACACAATGCTAAATCCCTTTGAAAAAAGCGAAAAGATTGGTATATAATCCCTAACCCAGTTGGTCAGGGCTGGAGACTTTCATTTTTGCCTTCCTTAATATGAAACTTAGCACTTTGGAGCCAGAAAAATTTAACTTTAAGGATCAACATTCATGTTCCACACCCCAGAGATAAAGATACACCTTCCTGGGATCATATTATCTCATGGGGTTAGGTCAAAAAACTCTGGCATGATTACAAGCCCACTGTTTTACCTGCAGCCTAATTCAGTTCGATCCCTTCCTTGGCACACCCATAAAGATTGCTTGTCTTTGGCCTTTAGTGTCATTTACCATGGCCCCCATTTCTTCGTCTTCTAGTACAAATGACCAGCTGTCTCTGCTAAGGTCAGGCACATGTCATTTCCTCACGTTCATCTCTCAGAGATGATCTATGACCTCCTGTGCTATGCACTCTGAGCTTCAAATCTTTAGTGGTTGGTGGCCTCATCCAGGGCCACTTGGGGTTCCACCTTTCCACACTGCTGAACCTCATGGAGACACATGTGCCATGGCTCAATAGAAAGGTGACCTTGGAGCCGGGAGGGGCTGAGATGAGGTGACAAGGACAGTGCTGCCCCAGGACAGCGGGTTTGTCAACAAGTTCACAATGAGTTCCACAGTTGTTCCTAGAAAAGTGTGCTTGTAAGTGGACATCCAAATGGTTCTACTTTCTATTTGCTATTGAGATAAACTTGTACCCCCAAAACCTTTAAAATTTAATATAGTTCTCATAAAGCATTTCATGAAAAGAAAAAGATTTAAAAATCAAGTTCTATTCTGAATGCCTATTCTAACTGTATGAAAGTTCATTGAATTGTTTAGATTTGGGTCAGATTAATTTTGGTATGTTCAGTGTGTTGTACTTTTTTTTCCAAGACTTTTTTTTTAATTTATTTATTTTGGCTTTTCGAGATAGGGTTTCTCTGTTTAACAGTTCTGGCTGCCTGGAACTCACTTCGTAGACCAGGATAGCTTGAACTCAAACATTTTTAATAGCAAAAAACTTTATAGAAATTAAAAAAAATCAGATTAGTATATCTACCAAGCTAGCTTTTTGTGTGCTGGCTTTTAGTATGGCTCACATGCCTTAGGAAAAAGGATAGTGTAGGATAAATCTTTCCACCAAGCCGCCCGAGCCCCGCTGCCACATGGGTGTCCAAAATAACACACAGAGTCTTATATTAGGTACAATGCTGAGGCCAATGACTAAGATTTCTTATCTGCTAGCTCTGTATTAAGTATCACCCATAATCTATATATTTTATAAACTTATCTTATTGAGGACGCTGGCAGAATGTGTCCTGTCTTCCTGGGTTCACATGGTGGCTGCTTCTCTTACTACATTTCCCAGAATCCTCTCTGACTCCTAGTCCCACCTATCTTGCTTTCCTATTGGCCAACAGCACTTTATTTATCAACCAATAAGACAAGCATATACACAGAAGAAACTCCCCCGTCATCATAGTCTTTTCTTTTATGTTAAAGGTCCCTCATCCCTGGATATTCATGCCCCTTCACTTATTTATTTATTTTTGTTAACCTTTTACTTGACATTCTTTCTGCTCATTGTCTGATTGGTTGGCTTTAAAGCATCAATATGTTCGTCTTTGCATCTCAAGAAACTATTTCTGATGAGGCTTTGGCGGATTTTCCCACTCAGTACCCGTTTCACATCTTTCTTTTAAAGACTTGGCAGGGCCAGAGGTGCTAACCTCACATCGTGCCTCAAAACAAAATCATAAGAAAAGAAAAGAAAAGAAAAGAAAAGAAAAGAAAAGAAAAGAAAAGAAAAGCTGCCCAAACGCTGATCCCGAACCCGAGGATGCCCTGTATATGCAGAACTGTGTCCCAGGGTTTTTGAAGTGGAAGCCAGAGTTGGGTGAGCAAAAGAAGGTCAAACACAAAGGGACAGCCAAGGGACCTGAAATATGAGTCACTGCTCAGCCACCAACTTTGCAAAGAGACTCATCTGGGCGAAACTGTCCGCGTACAATCGTCATGGTTACAAGACTGTTTAGGGAACATGCCACCAGACTTGGGTGTCTCCTTTCACATTACTTGGAAGGCACAGTAGTAAACATTCTGCACTGGTTTCCAAATTTGGGAGTGAAATTTCACTTATAAAGACAGCTAAAGCAAATTTTCTAATTTAATAAACTCCAAATTCATTCTGTAGCATTTCCCCATTGTTTACTGTAAGATTGCAAGGTTTAAGAAGTGTTGGAAGTCTGTACTGATTCTGGGAATGTAATTAATTGCCTGCAAGGCATACAAATCCCAGAAAGACACTTTGTCAGATTATCTTATCTTACTCACGATCTTATTATCCTACCAATTTTGTGTGGTTTCAGATTTCCCTGACTTGGGATTAAATCACTGTGTTCTTCCTGATGCATAATTCAGGAGCACTTGAAAACGATGTAATTACAAACCTCAACGTTGGACTGTAAATTGCACTCACTGACATAACTGCCTAGAGCACGGCTTCCTTTCAGAATAGTGGGTAAGGATGTCACGTTCCTAAGTCCTACTGCTCTGGGCCTGCTATTGGATATCCATGCAATTACGGAGTTGGATAGGATCCAACACCACACACCACACACGGAAGCTGGGAAAATGCCAGTGCTTTTGTGGATTTAGAGGAATTTTGAAGAAGGAGGGGGATAGTTCTTTTTTAAAAGAGCTACTTATTTACATATATGGGTGTTTTGTCTGAATGCAGATCTGCACCCCAGAAGAGGGCATCAGATACCATTGAACTACAGTTATAGATAGTTGAGTTGACACGTGGGTACTGGGATTTGAATTCAGGACCTCTGGAAGAGCAGCCAGTGTACTGAGCCATCTCTCTAGTCCTGAAAGATAGTTCTTAAAACAATAAAATAGTTGATGAACGTGCAAGTATAAGATTTTTGAATTATTCAAGTGCAGACTTAATTTTCTAGATGAGAACAGCCCTGACTAACTGTCCTCCTGAGGGCAGAAGACATTTTGCGTAGGTGCCCATCGTAGTTTTTATTATTTTCCCCACACTGACATTGAAATGTCTCATGAAGCTTCTCCAGAACTTTATTTTTCAATACCGCACTGCTCACTCCAACCCATATGCCCCATCAGCTACAGACTTTCATCCATTCTGATTTCTCAACTCTCCTTCATTTGAATCTAGACATAGGAAGTCCACTTAAACCCATGGGAAGTCTTCCTCATCCAAGAAGCCTACCTCCCATCCTAGACACTTTCTGATTCTAAATGCACTTTGAAATTTTTGTCATGCTTACAAAAAATATAAAACAACAATAAAAGAAAAATGCATTTTCCATTCTAATGTAAGATACTTGTGATCACCAGGTAAATAATCTCTAGCAATTTCCTTATGAGTAAGGCCTTAGGTATGTAGAAACTGAGGTAACAGGTCATTAACTCCACTATGTACAGTGGAACCCAATCTTTCATTAATTTCAATGAACTTTAGCCATCCTCGCCACATATCTATGTGAGATTTCTTTAGTCAGACAACAGTTTTTACTATTTCATAAATAGTAATTTGATAACAACAAAAACAACAACAACAAATCCCAGCCTTCATATATAGAAAATGGAGCCTCTCCACCTGTTTCCTGTTATTAACTAAAATGATGCATATTTTGGTGAGGGTGGCATCGCCACATTAGTTTGTAAATGAGGCAGCTAGTGCTGGGGAGAGTTCTGGTGCCTCTCTCCAGGGAACAATACTCTCTTGCAGTTTGCTGAAAGCAGGTGGTATTCATTTTCCTGCTTTGCTTGAAGTTCATAATAAAAGCAAACAGGTAGTTTGTTGTTGTTGTTGTTAAGAATCTTCAGCTTGACAGATCAAACTAGATAAATGTAGCCTCAGACTACAGGACATAGGCTTTGAAGCAACAGGTGGGGAAGGCAGCTTTGCACAAACTGAATGAGCTCAGTCCGTGCACTAAAATGTTTTTGGACAATTCTTGTGAGGTTCACAACAGATACAGAAAAGGACACATTACTAGCTTTGTGAGTTTCTCTGTGGAAATGCACCAAAGGAACAGGAGAATTTAGGTAGCATGGATTGGTACCTCCCTTCCATTCAATTTGGTTGGCAAATGGAAATAAATGTCTGGCGAGCTGGTTCCAGCTGGGTGTTGCTGGTTTCTGGAAAAGTTCTTTGCCCAACAGCTTTCCAGCAGTAGCTGTGTGGCCAATAATTAACCTTGTCACTTAGGGACCTTGCATGCCTGTTTTTAAGTGTGATGAGTTTCAAAGTTAGAATGGGAAAAAAATACAAAGTCACCTTAAGTCTTACAGTTAAACAATTTTAATAGTGCACAATAAACAGGCATAGAGCATTGCAGTCCTCATTTAAAACAATCTTCTCGATGCTTCTAAACTGGGCACGGGGGGGGGGGTCCTCTCTCATCCCTTCACATAGGAATAAATCTAGGGTAGTGCCCTAAAGTGCATTTCTCAGTCATTAAAAACAGTACTGCAATTTGCTCTCCATAGTCCTAGGTAAGAGCACAGCTTCCTCATTTGGGAAGTCGGAGAGATGGTTACATACTTAGTGCCTCTGAAAGATCCATCCAGCCTTTTCACTGTGATGCCTCAGAATGACTTTTTAAGAAGCCAACTTCCTCAGAAGCAGATATCTATCCTTCCCACAAATAAATACTTACGTCTTTGAGTCATGGAATATTGAAGACTCAGCTGACACTTCACTTTCTAGAAAAAAGTTAAATCTTAAAGGCCTTGGACCCCTGAATATTCTGAACTTGGGCGAGACATCAAGTACCAGTGCTCGAGTAATAGTGTTTTTCTCTCTACAGAGAGAGAGACGGTCCTGGAAGCTTGCTGGGGCTATTGCTTATCCTCCTGGGGGTCATCTGGAAAGTCGGCCTCCTCAGGGGACCTGTCTCCTTCGGGAAGCAGCGTAGCACGCACTTTCCTCTTCTCCTTAAATCGGCCAGAGCGTGAGATCTTCAGATTGCGCCGGCTGTTGCATGACTTCTCCTCACACAACTTCTCTGACCTGGGGGTCTCTCCGGTGTCCCCAAGAACGTCGGAGTGCTGGTTCTCTCGAGAGCTGCTAGTCCGATCCGAGTAAGGTGGTGTTTGATCCTCGGCCTCTGGCTGAACACAAGGCTGCGCCCCCACTGTGACTTCCTTGCTTTTTTTCCTGGTTAGCGATTTCCACCAGGGGCCAGAGCTGCTGGTGGGGCTGCCACTGTCCGCCATGGCCCACAGGCCTGGGGACCCTGGTCGCCCCGCGTGGCTAAGGGCCTGGGTCAGGCTCTCTCCGTGGTCTCAGGCTGTTCACTCCAGACTTTCCAGGCTTCTTCCACGCTGGCAGGCTGCCTGGTAGGATTCGAGGGAGCTCTCTGCACAGGGAGGAAAACAAAACTTGGGTAGGTCAAAGCAACAGGCTCCCTTTTCTCCTTTCCTCTGAGTTGGAGCTCCAGCCATGGGGCCACAGGAGGTGCTGTGGACCCAGTGGCCTCCAGCAGGACAGCGCCTGATCCACAAGATTGATTACCGTGAACTCCTGGCCTCAACCTTTGCCTTAACTCCCCAGTAAGTGTAGTAGCCACCCAGTGGAGGTCCTGACCATCTTGATCAACCTGGCTCAAAAGGGATTTGGGCTCCGCTGCCACTCTGCCTGACTGTAGGACCACTATAGGTGTCCACCTTCCCTTGAACCGCCTTTCTTCAGAAGAGCGCGGGGGAGGGGGGGCACCTAGCGTATCTTGCCAATTACAGGTGAACAATGAAGATCAGGCAAACAGACCCAGGTTTCTCTAAGACCTTTCCCTCGGATGTTGAGTGCTGATGGATGACTGGGAGTGTATCCAAGTGAAAGCCTGACGCACAAGCACATTGTTGTGCTTACACCAAACTGCTTCAAACCACTTCTGCCTTGTGACTTTCAGAGGCTGTCTAGACTTAACTTCCTTTGAAAACCGCCATCCCACTCTTCCTTTTACTCCCTAGAGGCCAATATCGCGATGGTAGGAAGACCGTGGGCCCCAGCCCCTCTTCCCTTAGCGCTCCTGCTCTCAAGTAAGTTATAAAGACTTCTGGTACTTTCCCTTGCCCGATTCCATCCTCCAAAGGAGAGAGAGCGCAACCAGATCTCCAGAAAAACATTCTTCCCCCAAACATTGAATAACGGAACCCCAAACCCCTAAAACTGGCACATTTCTCTTGTGCCTGCAACTGGGTAAGACCACCGGGAGTGGGCAGGGCTCTCGAGCGCCGCCCCTTTCTGGGTTCTTCGCCCATCCGCGGCAGAGCTCCTAGGATTCGTGAGTGCCCAAACGAGGGAATCTTGGGCTGCGTTTGTTGTTGCGGGTTCTCTGCGCCTTCGGGAGACAGCCCAGCAGCCACTGGCACCATCTCCTCCTCAGGATGCCCCGAGGACACACTCGGGCTGGGACTCGAAAATCGTAAAAGCAGAAACGGCCCTAAGTTCTTTCCCTATGAAAGGCGCCCATACCCTCAGACGCCGTCAGCAGCGGGGTTTCAAACACCCTTCTCCCTCCTACCTTGCATACCGGAAAAACAACCCCCTGACCCAAGGCATTTATTAATGGTGGAGGTGGGCAACCGCGAAACCTCAGTCCTCCACCAGACACTTGAGACACTTTATTCTCCACAGTGATCAACTTGGTGCGTATGGAAAGGCTCTGTGAGAACTGCACAAGAAAAAGATGACAAATACTGTAAAAGTGGGCAGAGCACTGTTCTGAGAACCTCTCCTCTGGCAGCAGGAGGAGGGTCACCGAGAGGCGCGGGAGAGCATTCCCGAGGGAGTCGCAGCGCCAGGGGCTGTCTAGTCAGACGCAGAGGAACTCGGGTTCGCTCACCTGCAGGGGCTTCCAGGGTCACCGCGGCCCCGGGCCTCGCTGGCTCTCGAGAGCACCCAGGGATGTCTCGGGGTTGCCTGAAGCTTAGGCGAAGAGCCGGTTGGCGTGGTCTCCGGGAGCTGCAGGAATCGCTGTTGCTGGTCTGGCTCAACACCTTTGACTCCCACACTCTATGGGGACCACCCGGGCTTGGAAGCACGGTATGCTTAGGTCGCAAGGGCTGTCAGATCCGCTGCCGCAGGGCGAGCCCAGACAGCCTTTCCTGGTGGGAGTTTCACATTCTGGGGTGCATCCCTTTTCCCTGCTTGCGAGGTTCCCGGGCGGCGGAGAGATGGGATCTCGGCTGCTGACTCCTGCGCACTCGCTCTTCCTGAGCGTTCGTAGGAACGTGCCCGCCGAGACATCTGCCCACCTGCTGGTGGCTGGCCAACCGACTGGAGACGCCAGAACCACGGAGGCGGGGAGGGTCGGGGTGGGACAGGAGGCGGCCACACAGCTACAGGTGCAGGTAGGCGCTGGAGTTCCCGCCCTCCTAGGGACCAGATTGGACGAGGTCGCATACGTGGCTTCAGCCTTGAAGACTCCGATTGGAGAAAAAGCTGCACTGAACCGCGCCCTGTCCGTGTTCCGTTCTTCCTCTGTGGTTTGAGTCCTAGGCTTTTAAGTTTTCTAATTCCAAGAGCTGATTCAAACTCCGACGTGTTGGAGAGTTTCAAACGCTCTTAGTTAAAAGGCTGGACGTTGCGAAGCATGTCCTTGCTGTCACTGGGTGCTATTCCTAGTACTAAGTAGGTTAGCTCTCTTGCTCATCACAGCACCCCAGGACTAGGCGCTGTGACCCTCGCCAGGCCTGCAAGAAAACCTTGGCACGCGAAGGTTAAACAGTTTCCCTGGATTGCCCGCTGAAGCGAAAAGGAACAGGGTTGGAGTTTTGACTCTAGCTTAACCACCACGTGATAGCAGTCTGTTGGCCCTGGGTTCTTGGCATGACTGGGTGCTTTTGCTAGTATACATCATTCAGGTCTGGATGTACGAACCGACAGCCTTCCAAAACATGATGCCAGCCCTGAGGCACTGCGAGAGTGAAGCTGTGGATTGTTCCATCACAGTGTGGGGCGCTTTAGCTAGGTGATGATTTGACAAAACAGTATTAGAATAGCCATTCTTCTAATGAAGGAGAAGCTACAATTTGCTTCACCACCTTGCAGGATGTCTTGAAAGAGAGATTATGGGGTCTCTGAGCTCATGCACATACAAGCAGGACTCCTGACCTCTATGATACACAGTCCAGGCAGAGCCCTTTCTGCAGAAGAAACCTGGTGGGAGACAGAACGCCCACTCAACTCCCTTGCAATGTAGATTTGATAGGCAGGAATTTTATAGAGCCTTTCCAAGAAAGAGAGAAATACAAGGACTTTGTTGATGCCTTAGTTTGGGTTTAATTTTTAAAAATACGATGAACACAACGTTGTGTATTTGAAAGTGATTTGTTTCTTACCAGAGATTAATAGCTCCCTCCCTCCCCCTCTCTCTCTTCCTCCCTCCCTCCCTCTCCCTCCCTCCCTCTCCCTCCCTCCCTCTACCTTCCCCTTTCCCTTTCTTCCTTTCTTTATTGATGGCATTTCACTATGTAACCAAGACTGGCCTCAAGCTCTGGCATAGCACCAAACCTGACTCATTGGGGGCAGTTTTAAAGTGGGGACATTGAGTCATAACACTTGTCCTGGATAAAAACTAGCTGCCAGTCTTGAGGGGAGGACTCTCTCCGCAGGAAGTTGCCAAATGATGAGAAAAATTCATCTGGGGTGTCACCACCATTTACGGAGCTGGGACTCGGTATTGTTGAGCACATGGGTGGAAGAACGAAGACATGAGGAAAAGAAGACTAGCTTGCTGAATGGCTCCTCATCCAGTGTGGTTTTGAGAAAGTCATGGGCATTTTCTCAATAAACAGATACTTCACTTCTCAGTAAGACAGCTCCTTATTTACATTCGACAATGTCATAGCCCTGTTGTGTTTCCTGGGTTGTGTAGAAGCACCTTATAAACAAAATAACCCTGGAATGGGGTAAATGTGTACATGGAAAGGTAAAGCGGGGGAGAAATGAGCTCGAGGCACAGGAGATGGGGAGCATCCCAGGGTAAACAGCAAGTACCAGGGCTGTTTCAAGCTGCCAAGGGTGCTGTGATTTTTCAAGGCTCAAGGAGCAGGTGGGTAGTCTGTGTGCTGAGTGGCTAATCTGAAGCAGAGGTGAGGCTGGACAGCTGAAAGTAACACAGGCTTCCAAGGATGGCTGTGGGTGTGGCCCAGCACAGAACCAGAACAGCTGCTCTCTCAAGGGCACAATAAATGATGACCTGCTTAAGGGGTGAGTTTCCAGAAGGCAGACCTAGGTAGGACACTAGAAATTAAAATCAGAATCCTGGAGCTTAGAGTTGACGTTCTCTCTTAGCAAACCTGAAATGTCTGGAGGTGCCAAGAAACGGATCACATACAACAGTCTCTACAACAGGACTGGGCTTGGGAAAGGGTACCCAACAAATGCTTTAGGAATACAGCCAGTCAAAATGGGAGAAACGGAAGCCCTCTCCATTCACCCCAAGAGAGGTGGGGTATGTCTTGGCTTTTTTTCTCTCTCTCTTGTCCCCAATTTTCACATCTCCTGTTCTTATCCTTCCCTTCTTTCTTTAGATCCTGCCGTTCTTATCTTTTCCTTCCTACGGACACCTCTGTCCTTTGACAGGTAGACACGCATTTCTCTTTTCTTTTCCTTCACACCCTCCGAACCTGTCACTTTGCATGCTCTGTTGTGCCTTCGATGTGTTCACATCAGTGTTGGATTCATTGTCACTTTGCATGCTCTGTTGTGCCTTCCATGTGTTCACATCAGTGTTGGATTCATTTAGCCTTTTGGAGTGGGCACTGCAACCAGGCATGAAATAAGCATCTACGGCTTGCTGCCTCTCGTCTCCCCGCCACATTACTGGAGCATCTACAGATGTCCTTTTCTTATGGTTTTCTAAGCAGCTTATCTAAGCAAGGCCAACCTTTGTCCAGAACCAGCTCTCTCTGCAAGTCAATCCCCTCAGCCGAGCCTTTGGGCAGTCCCACTCACTCTCTTTTCCCCTTGAGTCCTGTCACCAGATCACAGGTTTGGAAGTCATAGCCTCTCTGTCTCCCTCCTCACAAAGCTACTTCATGCAGAATGCTGGTGACAGGAACTGGCTAGGGCTCCATCTAGCTGGCCTGCTGGGCAGGGGGTGGTGGTATCTCTGCTGGATCTTTCTTCCAACAGCAGATGTCCTTGGCACACCTTCTTGGTTTCCTTTTCATGCTGCTGAAGATACAGCCCTGGAGCTTGAGCTTTCTAG